TTCCTTTCCTTCCTTTCCTTCCTTTCCTTCCTTTCCTTCCTTTCCTTCCTTTCCTTCCTTTCCTTCCTTTCCTTCCTTTCCTTCCCCCTCATGCCCCCAAAGCTTGCCCAGTTTTATGGAGCAGAACACGTACAAGAGCTCATAGAATTCCTGAGGGAGGCACAATAATTCCTGTGACTGTATGAAGGAAATCCTCTTTTCCTAGAATTCAGTGCAGCCACACCACCAGCTCCATCCTTATGGGGTAAGAAGAGCACATTTGGTCAAACTGGGCCTTTTTTAGGAAAAATTCCTTCACTGAAGGAGAGGTTCAACATGGAAGGGGCTGCCTTGGAAGTGCTGGGGTCACAATCCCTGAGACCACCTGTGGCATTTCCCAGCAGGGCTCAGTGAGCACAGTGCTGTCAGCCAAAGGTTGGTCCTGATGATCCTGGAGCTCCTTTCCACCCTTGGTGATTCTGTGCTGATGGCTCCAGGAATGAAAGGCTGGGGGCTGCAGTTCCCTGTGTGGATCATGGTTTTCCCCTGGCATTAACCACAAACCATTGTAACATTGACTGCTGCTGGGTGTGAGACACAGACACATCACTCTGTGATCCCTGTGACAAAAAGCTTTTTTTATTGTTCTCAACTTCACCTTAAATACCCATCTTCATGTTCCTGGGCAGGCACTTGGGATTGGCTGAAAGTTCAACCTCTGACCACTGCAGCTTAGGCTGGAACTCACTGGGCCAAATCCCTGTGTGGTTCCCAGTCTGTCCTGTCATTGTTCCTGGAATCCTGTCTGTCCAAAACTCTGTCAGACCAGGCTGCTTCTCCCATGGATGCTCAAATCAACTCAAATTAACTGCCCAGCACCAGTGCAGCTTGTGCTGGGACAAACCATGTGCTGCTGGGTGTGGGAGCAGCTTGCCTTACCCCTGGCTCACCTTTGACCTTTTTTTGGCTGAACTTTCCTGATGTTTTTCCGTGGAATTTTGACAGGTTTGGGGTGTTTCAGTGCAGATTTTGGGTGTCCGGTGAGTGATTTTAGGACTTTTTTGGGGGGAGATTTTTTGGGGGTGTTTTTTTGGCTATTTCAGCATGGATATGGAAGCAGTTTATTCCTGAGCTATTCCTAAGCAATCCCTCGTTCTCCATTCCCTCCTTGGCCAGCCATGGAGAACGGAGCTGTACGAATCCTGGAGCCCATCATGGCCGTGGAGGTGATGGCTCCCACGGAATTCCAGGGAGCCGTGATAGGCGGGATCAACCGGAGACACGGCGTCATCACGGGCCAGGACGGCTCCGAGGGACACTTCACCCTCTATGCTGAGGTCTGTGTGCTCCCTGCTCCTCCCCTGCCTTTTCCTGGGCTTCTTGTGTCCTCATTTAGGGAGGAAACCTCTGAATGGGGTCTCTATAGGAAACAGATTCAAGCAGCCCTACCCTGAGTGGTTCAGGGAAATATTTCCTAGGAGAAAAGTGGAAAAAAAAAATGTTTATTTAACAGGCAAAACACTCCCCAGCACAAAAAATGAACAATACTAAACAGCAAAACCTCTCTCTGCTCTGAAGAGATGACACATTCAGAGGAGTTTTTTTTGTGGGTTGCAGCCCAGCTCACTCAGGCTGTTCTCATCTCTCCAGAGCTGGAAATGTCACAGCCCAGGCCAGGCCTGGTGGGACACAGGTGTGAGCTCCCAGTGCTCTGCTGGCTTTTCAGCCCAGAGGAGGTTCAAACAATTCCAAGAAAAAGGAAAAAAAAAAAACCACAGTCCAGGGAACTTCTCTGCCTCAGCCAGCCAGAAAAACCACCCAAAGGCAAAGGAGACAGCACAGTCTGTGTGAAGGATGGGGCAGCAAGTGCAGTCTGTGATAACAAACTCTGCACCTCTGCTCTCCCCCTTCACTCCTGGAACCAGGCCTAAAGTGCAGAACTCAACATTCAACACCAACACAACAGATAACTGGGGATACAAACATCATAAAGTCACCCCAAGACAGCTTGATTCCATTGTTTCCCTCAGTTTATATGGATACAGTTGTGGGTTGACTCAATTTCAATGTTCCTTCTTTTATCTCCTTCCTAAAAATGATTGGAAAGGATCACTGGGTGTTTTCCTGCTGGGTGGGGGGCTCAGGACAACCATCCCCCTCTGCTTCCCAAATTATCCCTGGAGGAATGTCTGGAGATACCTCAAACCTTGCTGGTTGATTCATCACTGAATTTAGGATATTCCAGTTCGCAGTGCACTCAAACTCAGATTTTTGAGGTTTCCTGCTGAAAACACATTGCAAATATAAACTAATTAAAATAACAGATACTTTACAACAGCAAACCATTAAATCAGAGCTGTTTACAGACAGCACTGACTCTTTATGTCATAATTGGGATTAATTAGCTGATAGCCCTAGAGTGATGGAAAAAACCTCATTACAGCAAATATTGTTTGGATTTTAGGTGCCACTGAATGACATGTTTGGATATGCCACTGAGCTGAGGTCTTGCACAGAGGTGAGTCCTCCTGCTCCTTTCTGCTTTTGATTTGATTCTGTAAATTTGGGCTGATTGCATCATCCTCCCATGGCAGCTGCAGCAGGGAATGAGATCAAATCAAACCAGAGCTCTGCAATTCCTGCCCAAACAATTCCTGTGTACCTGAGGAGTTTTGTCTGGGTGGGATTGTGGAGGATCCCTGGGTGTTCCTTCACACACAGGAGGTTGTTGCACGTGGCCCATCCTCACTTTTTTTTCTCCCCCATCTCTGCAGGGAAAAGGGGAGTACACCATGGAATATTGCAAATACCAGCCCTGTTCAGCCAGCACTCAGGAGGAAATCATCAACAAATACCTGGAAGCAACAGGGAGACTTCCAGCCAAAAAGGGCAAAGCCAAGAACTGAGGGGATTCCTCTGGAGGCCACTGAAGAGCTGCTCCCACTCTTCTCCAACAAATCACTTGTCCAAGCCATGGAAGCAGCCCAGGCTGGCTGGGTAAGGTGGGATTTGGACTTGGAATTTTACCATCAATCCTTTCCCTGGGTGTTGTCAGGGGCTCACCACAGGATTGCTCTCATGTAAATGCTGGTGTAACAAAGATGTTAAAAACACGGCTGATGATGTGCTTGAGATTGGTCTTAATTAAGATCTATTAAAATAATTTTATTTTTTACTTGATACATCTTTATTTGGAAATGTTGAACCAGGAAACTGAGGTCAGAGCTGCTGGACAGGGACATCACTTGGCACGTGGTGCTCCAGCTTCCCTCCAGGGAGCAGATGGAATTTTCCCTCCAAATCCTTTGGAAATGGCACAGGATCCTCCCAAGTCTGAAGCCACTGGACAAAGCCATCACTCAGTGCTTGTCACCAAATCCACTTTCACTGGTGGCACTGGGATGGAGCTCAGTTACCAAGGATGGGAGGAGCTTCCTCTTCCCAAAGCTGGGAACAACATGGAATTACTGGGTGGCTTTAATGGGCTTGGGCTGTGGATTCATGGTATGGACTTGGCTTTTGGCTCTTGGCTAGAAATGCAAACCAAAGATCCCTTTTCCCAGAATCTCACAATCCAGAGTGTTAGAAATCCAAGGATCCCTTTTCCCAGAATCTCACAATCCAGAGAGTGTTGATTAGAAATCCAAGGATCCCTTTTCCCACAATCTCACAATCCAGAGAGTGTTGATTAGAAATCCAAAGATCCCTTTTCCCACAATCTCACAATCCAGACAGTGTTGATTAGAAATCCAAGGATCCCTTTTCTCACAATCCAGAGGCTGAGCTGCAGCTGATGTTCAGCTCAGGAATCACTTGGCTTTGCTGACTCCAAACAGAGACAAAAACAAGGGGTTAGGTGAGAAGATTCTCCCATAATTCTGTATTTTTAATTATCCCCAGAATGCCCACGTTGGATTTTCTTTCCTCCTTCCTGCCTTACTCAGCTGAGAAGTGTTTTTACAGATTCCAGTAAACAGGGAGTGAAGTTCCAGTTCAAACCCAGTGACATTCCTGGCACAGCACTGGGGCTGCTGCTTCCCAGACAGAAACAACTGGAGCAGCCAGGGCTGCTCCTCCTCAGGGAAGGATGGAAAATGATTTCTGGAAACCTGGGGAAAGGATTTGCCAGGGCCTGGAGCTGCTCAGGGATCCCAGGCGAGATGTGGGGTGTCCCTGGGACAAATCCATGATTGATTCCCATACATCCATGGCTTTGTTCTTGGGAATGCTCAGCTGGAATTCATTTCCACAAAAGCCCTGCAGGTTCTCAGACATTTGGAAGTTTTCTAAAACAAGCAAATGTAGCAACTTTTCCCAAAATTTGGAGATGTCTGGTAAAAGCAGTGTGAACACAGGGCAAGAAACAGGGTGGGTATGGTTTATTTGTATTTCTGGGGTTTGTATTTGTATTTCTAGGGTGTATATTTGTATCTCTGGAGTTTATGTTTTTATTTCTGGGGTTGACTGATGGGATTTGTATTTATGGGGTTTATATTATGTTTAAAGCAGTTGTGATGTGAATTCCTGGCTGATGAGTTCTGCCAGCTGTGCTGGTTCTCCACAAACCAACCCCAAGAATTTTGCTGTGTGATTTGAGGTTTTAGGCTGAAACTTTGGCCTAAAAGCAGTTGAGGGAGACTTTGCCTTAGAATTCCAACAGCTTCTACTTATCCAGAAGTTCCTCTGGAGTTCCTTTTCTGCTGTGAGTTTGTGAGCAGTTCCACCAGCCTGGTGCCTGGGCAGTGTCTGATCCTCTATTCCAAAAACAAGGTAAGGAGACAAAAGCAGAGCCCCCAGGTGCCAAATCTATCCTATGTTCTTGGCTTAATTCCAAAAAAATATTTTAATCACCAGCTTCTTATGTTGGAGTTTTGCTCCCTGATTTCACATTTCTGATGATGAGAAATGTCCTCCCAGCAGGAAAGAAAACAGCAGAGGGTGTGGAATGCTGCTTCCCTGAGTGTATGGAGGGAAAAAGCTTCAGTCAGAACATCACTTATTTGTGTAAAATGCTGGAATTTGGGAAGCTGACATCACCCAGCCTAAAAACATCCAGGGAAAGCTGTTGTGTGAAACCCTTGAATTGTTGTTCCCAATTTCAGCTCAAGGGTTGTGGAAACCACCCCGAGTTCAACAGAGCAGCCACCCCAGAGCCTCTGTTCCTCTGGAACGTGGGGTGTCCTTGGGAAGGGTTTGATTTATCCTGCCACAAACCTAAATGAGGAAAAAGTGAGTTTGGGACAGTCTGGCACAATCCCAGTGAGCTCTGATGGATCTGCTGGGAACCCAGCTGGAGAATTTGGTGGCAAAAGACAAAGCCATGACTTTGTGGTGGGACAGGAATAACACAGGAGCTGTTCCCAAACACGGGGATTCATCCTCAGAGAGCCTCCCTGGCTCTGCAGGTGTGTTTGGGTTTGAGGTGACAGAGAAATTTGGAAATTTGGGCTCCATAGCAGCAAAAAGAAAACCCAGCCTCGACCCTGAGTGATGGCATTTGATTTATTGGAGATGTGAGTTAAAAATCAGCAGGATTCTAGCCCAAAACATGACAAAAAATTAGTAGGCAAGTCTCTCTTAGTGACAGATTAACACTTTTTTCACGATTTTTATCCAAATATATTAATTTTGTTTACAAACTCTTAAGTGACAGTTAATCAGTGACATCAAATCAACTGCTGTATGTTCATCTGTGAATATATGGAGTAGCAGAGGGTTCAGGCAGAGCTGCAGAATTTGATTCTCGGAGTTGAAGAAGTGTCAGGAATGAATTTTGGCACAGAACAGAGCAGTGAAACCACTCCCATTCACTGACATCCATGGAAGGATGATCCCAGCTCCAGGTCTGTCAACACAAGGATTTGCTGATTGGATCCATTTCCACAAAACTGAAGATTTCAATTAAAAATTTGCTCCTTTTTCAGCTGCAGGCCCAGCAGCTGATCCAGATTCTGCCCCAGATCCCTCATCCCCACCGTGGCTCTCAGCAGCACAGAAATGTTTCACTTTCAGAGGGTGCCCAGGGAGCCACATCAGGCGCATGTGACAGGAAATGATCTCCTGGAGAAAGGATTTAAACAGATTTTTATCACCTTGATGCAGTTCATCTCCTGCTGACAGCATGGGGTTGTTCACCTGCACTTCCTTACCTGGGTTGGGATTTCATGCAGTAGCACAGTGTAGTCAAACTCAATAAAATCATCTTTCCTGATCTGGGCAGGTCAGAAAAAGAAAAAAAAAAGAATTATCAGGAACACAGGGTTAGAGTGTTGACATTTCAAGCCTGCTGTGATGTCCTGGAGCTCATTGAAGGAGGTGAGCAGGGCCCCGTGGCTGTGGTTGGTGGCTGCAGTGATGGGTTTGCACTGTGGAAGGATGGAATCAGGAGCACTTCCTGCATGGAATGTCTGAGGACAGCAGGAGCCGTGTGACTCTGCAGCCTGTCTGCACTGAAACCGGGTGCTAATTAATTGGATTTAACCCTCGATTAAACCTGAGAATTTTATGACCCTCTCCTTCAGAGAGATGCTGAACAGCTGAAGTGCCAAACCCGGATCCTGCCCGTGGATCCTGGAGGGCTGAGGGCCACAGGGCTCTGGGAGGGCTGCAGGAGCTGCAGGGTGTGCAGGGTGGGCTGCAGGAGCTGCAGGGTGTGCAGGTTGTGCTGCAGGAGGTGCAGGCTGTGCTGCAGGAGCTGCAGGAGGTGCAGGCTGTGCTGCAGGAGCTGCAGCTGCTCCCCAGCCAGGCCGTGGTGTGAGGTGTGAGCACAGCCACGGGCAGAGCGTGCTGGGCTCTGCTCTGGGGCTCAGCACCTGCAGGAGCCACTCCTGCACATCCAGGACAATTTTCCCAGTAAAACCAGGACAAAGAGCTCGTGCAGAGGTGGAGCTGCTGCTGAGGAGCAGCCCTGGGATTGGAGGAATGTCCCTCAGAGCTGCCCCACTCACCCACTGCCTCACGGACTTCACTTGGGCCAGGAAGTATCCCAAGGTCTCCGTGGACTTTTCCCACATGATGGAGCTGCTGCCAGCCACAGCTAGAGCCCACACTGGCTCCAGGGCAGGCTCAATGTTGCCAAAGCTGTCTGCAAGGCAAGGAGAAAGAGAAAACAATATTAATTCTGGCTGGGCAGCAGAAAAACGATGAAGCTGAGGGAGTTTTGCCTGGCACAGCACCGTTCCTGGATGGGGCTCTTCCCTCTGCCGTGTCACAGGGAGGAGGGAGGGGAATGAGGCTAAACCTGCAGCTCCAGGGAAATGTCAAGTGTGGCAGAGCTGACCCTGCCAAGAGAGGCATCCCCATGAGGAGGTGAGAAACTCAAAAATCCACAATAATGGGAGTCCTTACCTAGCTGGGAGAATAGAAGGGATTTTTCCAGGATGGAAAAATGGTGCTGGTCATCCTCAGTGAATGTCCAGCCAAGCTGGGGACGTGTGTGGGTTTGGTTATTTCTGAAGGACAATCTGCACTGACTGGACTTAGAAGTGGTGTGGAGCTGCTTTTAAACCCAAACCACCCTCACAGGATGGTGCTGAGTGGGAAATCCAGAGGGGCTCTGCTCTCCCCCAGATCCCTGGGGAGCTGGGATTGCTCTGACAGCAGGATGGGCTCAGGGTGCTGCTGTCAGTGTCTCCTTTTCAAATTCCTGTGTCCTCCATGCCCTTGGAGATAAAGTGAAACACAGGTGAGTATTTACAGGAATATACCTGGAATGTTGTTCCCAGTTATTGGTTTGCTTTGGTGCCTGATCCTTTGGTAAAGTCTGTTGTCCTCTTCCTGGATTTCCTTCTGGTCTTTGGTGTGGGAGCACTTGATGCTGACAACAGGAGGAGACTTTTTCTTTGGATACAGCACTGTAGCCAGGCAGTTCCCAGCATCTTCCTGTCAAGGGAGAGTTTAAAACTGTTATTTTTAATCAAGATTTTATTTACCAGCAACTCACTCTTTGTATGAAACTGTTCAGGGGTTAGGAAATTGTCAAGAAGGATTTTATTTTTCTTTTTTTTTTTCAGGAAAGAGGTTAAAACCACAAGGCTAAAGGGATTTAACAGAAGGTTTTAATTAATGGTTGTCCTGCTTTCAGGACATGACAATGCTCTAAGTCATCCTGGAAACATGTGAGAGCTCAAGAAACAACATTAATTGATAACAGGGACCTTCATTGTGCCAGCCTTGAAACAAAAATAATCTAAGGCTTCACAGTAAGTTCTGAAAATCATTTGAATTCCACAAAATGTGTGTGAAGAAGAGGACAGGAAAATACTGCTGACAGCTGGGACAGGGGAGGGGTGGAACTGGAATTGGAAAGAACACGGAGCTGTCAACTCCTGATTGCAGTTTGGGATGTGGACAGCGGGAGAAGAGAGAGGAGAG